CATAAAATAAAAAATTTATATCTTTATGTTTGAAGCCTGAAATGTGGCAAAAGGTTGAAAAGTTCAAGGGGGCCGAATACTTTCGCAAGGCACTGTAAGTCAACAGCTCCAGACTGCAGGACTTGGGTTTGACATCTCTGGGAAATATAGAACACGGAGGTTCGCCAGCTTCACGTGCAGTGACAGGGCTTGAACCCGGAACTGCTTGGGAACAGTTAGTTTACTTTAACCTGGATCAAAAAAGACTCTAGTCTATATTGCCAGCTGCTTCATGTTTACCGAAAACGTTCAGCATCCTGACCACAGTATCTCTGGTCCCTTAATTCAGCATAAAGACTCCCTGAGGTAGGAGGGTCTCAAACATGCTCTTAGAAACACCCCCTTCATGGGATCTCCAAAATCTGGGGTCAGGGGGTTGGCCTGTCTCACGGCTGCTGTGCTTTTCATCTCTAAGCAGCAAGTGATGAAGACCTGTCCTCAATCACGAAGCTTTTCAATGCAAAAGTTCTTTCACCTGTATGTAAAAGGATATACCACTAAGGGCAAGGAACATGAAGAAAGAAATCTTAGAAAAAAAGGGTCTTCTCTCAACATCTCATCTCCTTTAAACAGTTGAAATGTTTTTGTTTACACGTTGTACAGCATGTGCAAAATATTCCAGCTGTGTCTCTTAAATCAAGATGATGTTGTGCTATTAAATCCGGTGTTGCTGCCTTCAAACGAAAAGAGGAGAGAGACCCCTGCTGGTCATGTTACACGCTTCACCCTACCTACAAGAAGCGATGACTGTTCCTGTCTTCAATACCGTCTCTTTGCACCCCGTTTCTTCCTCGGTTAAAGGCTGAAGACCGAACACAACAGATTTTATTTCCTTTCCTAATTTCCCTAAGAGAGGAACTCTTTCCCTTTCCTAAGAGACGCATGACCCCACAGTCTCTCTCTGGACTGAAGCACTTTTGAGAGGGCCCCAATTCCTGAAGACATAATCGTGTCAAAGGCGCTCCAATTGCTCTTGGGAAAACTGTCGATTAACATTCCATTCTGCATCAGCCAATAAAAAAAAATGAGCCAGCACCCAGTTTCGCGAGAACTCAAAACTGCTCTGTACTAGAGGTTTAAATTCTTTTCACGAAGCACGGAAATTAAATGTGCTTGAAAAGACCCATTTGTCACCCCTCCATATAGCACCGCAATTAACTGTGGTACTGTATATCAATGTTAAGATCGCGAGGATGGCGCAGTTCTTCCTGGCAGGATCTCAGAAGGATCCTGAGGTTTGGACTCAGAGCCCAGCAGGACAGGTTACTCTTTTAACTGTGACAATAGCTGCAATTTCTCCAGCCGGACAGAGCCCGTTTTGCCAATCCGTCCACGGGTATGAACGTAATCAAAATAAATGTAGAAACATTATATATAATTGCATTAGCACTCCTAAACGCTCATGCGTGGGCAGAGTTGTCAAGTTAAGCGCTCGACCGCTGTTGTACAGGTAATACCGCTCTCAGCAAGAGCGACTTTGTTCCAGACGGACGGGAGCGGTTCGGTTTAGTTCTTGTTTGAGCTGGAAAAGACCCTCACCTTGCTGGGTGAAGGTGCAGGGCTGTAGATCGTGACGTGTTTTCACCGGTAGGGGGCAGGAAACCAGGGGAAATGAGCAGGAGGATCCTCCGACAAATTCCCCGCTAAATTCCTCAGAATGTCGTGGTACTCACGCCCAAGTGTGAACA